TTCGCGTTTTTAGCGCAGCGTCCATGTTTAGACTGCCGAATGAGAATTTAATTGATTGTGTCAATGGTTATTATAGAAGTTATGATAAATTATAAGTTATTAATGGATATTAATGGTGATTAATGATTATGTATTAGTGGTCATGGTTGTTAATGGTTGTTGATGATTGTTTCCATGTTAACTGATGATTATTTACTAGTGACTATTTGTGGCTGTCAAAAAAAATCAATGGTGATGACTGATGATATATGATGATTAGTACACATTTAATGGTTCTGAATGGTTATGAATTCTTATCTAGGTCAATCTTGGATGGGTAGTTTAATCCTTTAGTCTTTTGGTATCAATGGGATTATATATATATATATTATATCTACTAAACAGCTAAGTTTTTTTTTGCCGGGTATCTAAGATTGGCAATTTTATTATGTCCTATAAAAAATGACGGTTATGCTGCATGGCATAGGTCCTGCTGCCACAGGAGACGTCCATGACGATCTTCGATTTCTTTGACGGCATGGACGGTTGAGTCAGCTGGGAGGTGGGGGACCTTGCCTATGAGGATGCCAGATACTGGGGTCAAGTTGCCTATGAATTTCCCCTCTGGTTATGTCAAAATAGCTATTGAAAATGGCCATAGAAATAGTGGATTTACCCATTAATAATGGCCATTTTCCATAGTTATGTTAAATTACCAGAGGGTATATTGCAAGTTTGCTCCAGGATACCATGTAGGATGAACCACCCAGCGCATGGTTTCCTCCATCAGGCACTGAGTGGAGGCCTTTTCGCGCCTGTGTGGCACGGTGAAAAAGTGCTGCTGATTCCCCATGGTAGGGGCTGGAGATCTCTGGATTTCGCCAGAACATGACGTAAATCCCGGTCATACTCAACACCCCCATGGTCCCAAATGTTGTGGTTTTCCCTACACCATGGTTTCCGGGAAGGTGAGTGAATCTATGATTCATCTATGGATGATATGTGGCAACTCACAAAAAGGATAAACCTTTAGTGGTAAATGAAACCTTTCCTACATAGTTTGACTTACTTTGTATCCATTGATCTACCCCATCGCATATCCACTTGCCCCATGATACCTCATGATATACAGTATCCTTATTGCAGTATCAAGTGGCTGATTATCTGATCTCACTACTGACCGAATCTTGGTCACATTTGGATCCATGTTGAAAAGCTCGTAGGTGATGTAGGTGTTTAGTGCCTTTAGAAAGCATCAACGATATCCAGAACTGAAAACTTAATCCCATCCATTCTTGGTTTTCAGTGTAGATGATGCTGTTTGGGTCAGGGGAATTACACCAACATCGCAAAGGATCTCAGGTAATTCCGGTCATTCCCCTATGAATACAGCGGGTGCCAGAATTATAGAACGGAAGTTGAGGAGTACGAAGGTACGGTTATTTACCGTACCCTGTTGTTCTATAATTCTGTTTTCCTCGGAAGGTGTGAAAAAAAAAGTATCTGAATTTACTCCTAACTTTTTTCGTCGTTCTATAATTCTTGTCGGAGCGCTGCTGTTCTATAATTCTGTTTTCCCCCATTTTTCTCACATTTCCCATTTTCGTTCTATAATTAATGTTTCCCGGGCCCCGTTCTATAATTAATTTTTCCGTCGACCGGAAAAATTAATTATAGAATGGAATAATCAATTATAGAATTATAGAACCTCTTCCGGGGTCCCAGAAATCCTACAAAATCACCATGAAATCTAAGAAAATCACAGTGAAATCCCATAAAATCACCATGAAATCCCATAAAATCACCATGAAATCCTACAAAATCACCATGAAATCTAAGAAAATCACAGTGAAATCCCATAAAATCACCATGAAATCCCATAAAATCACCATTGTATATGTACAAATATGCAGTAAATATCAAGTCAGTGCCAGAAATTATAGAACGGGGAAATTTAATTATAGAACGGATCCCCGTTCTATAATTAAATTTCCCGACTCCGCGCGGAATCGGAACCCGGAGGAGTACAAAGGTACGGTATTTTACCGTACTTTTGTACTCCTGGCTCCGTTCTATAATTCTGGCACCCGCAGTAGCCCTGAATACTCAGGTTGGATCTGATGACCATTCATAGCGGCAAATCATTCAATGGATTCAGCCACTATGAAAAAAAACATGATTTCATCGGGTCGCTTCCACCTGCGGCCACTTGTTCAGCGAACCCAAGCGGCTCCATACGCGCTGGGGACGCACAGAGGTGTGGAAAGATTCTGTGAGCGGGGAAATAGAGTGGTTTAATCATATCCATTGAAGCTGGGGGGGGTGAAGGTCAGTTTTTGGTGTTTTAAAATGGCCCATGCATTTTGTTTTGATCAAACATACCTTTTCGGTAGCTAAAAGACCGAGATGGACCATCCCAGAAGCACTGGATCAACGATAAAATAGTCAGCAGTGCTACCCCCCAAAATAACCAGCACGCATGGCGCTATAATTGAGGGGTTTTCCATAAATGGGGGATCCCCAATAATTAGCTGGATGGTGACTATTTCATGGAACATACCCATCTAAATCATCTAATTAAAATGGATGATGACTGAGAATCTGCAGAGTTGAGAGTGACACTGGAAAATCTCGTTGATCACATCCTATGATTTAATATGATTTATAATCGCTTATAGATGATTTAAAAGCCAATTTTTTATACACATCCAATTTATAGATGATTTAAACGCCAATTTTTATACACATCCAATTTATAGATGATTTAAAAACCAATTTTTATACACATCCAATTTATAGATGATTTAAAAGCCAATTTTTATACACATCCAATTTATAGATAATTTAAACGCCAATTTCTATACACCTCCAATTTATAGATGATTTAAACGCCAATTTTTATACACATCCAATTTATAGATGATTTAAAAGCCAATTTTTATACACATCCAATTTATAGATGATTTAAAAGCCAATTTTTATACACATCCAATTTATAGATGATTTAAAAGCCAATTTTTATACACATCCAATTTATAGATGATTTAAAAGCCAATTTTTTACACACATCCAATTTTTTATACACATCCAATTTATAGATGATTTAAAAGCCAATTTTTTACACACATCCAATTTTTTATACACATCCAATTTATAGATGATTTAAAAACCAATTTTTATACACATCCAATTTATAGATGATTTAAAAGCCAATTTTTATACACATCCAATTTATAGATGATTTAAAAGCCAATTTTTATACACATCCAATTTATAGATGATTTAAAAGCCAATTTTTATACACATCCAATTTATAGATGATTTAAACGCCAATTTTTATACACATCCAATTTATAGATGATTTAAAAACCAATTTTTATACATCCAATTTATAGATGATTTAAAAGCCAATTTTTATACACATCCAATTTATAGATGATTTAAACGCCAATTTCTATACACATCCAATTTATAGATGATTTAAAAGCCAATTTTTATACACATCCAATTTATAGATGATTTAAAAGCCAATTTTTATACACATCCAATTTATAGATGATTTAAAAGCCAATTTTTATACACATCCAATTTATAGATGATTTAAAAGCCAATTTTTTACACACATCCAATTTTTTATACACATCCAATTTATAGATGATTTAAAAGCCAATTTTTATACACATCCAATTTATAGATGATTTAAAAACCAATTTTTATACACATCCAATTTATAGATGATTTAAACGCCAATTTCTATACACATCCAATTTATAGATGATTAAAACCCAATTTTTATACACATCCAATTTATATATAGATGAATTTCACATCACACATGAATGCTTGGCGGTGAGATCTTCAACAGACTTCGCTAGGATTTTATACTACAGTAGCCCGCAGAGAAAGGTCCAACAAAAATATGAAGGTTCCTGATGACTAACATTTTCATACATTTTCTATTTTCTGGTTGCTGTACAATCGGGGTGAAATCGCTGGCCAACACCCCAGTGGTGCGAGGAGAAGCGGGAGTGGCGTTCAAGTGGCCTTCACGCCGCGAGTGTGCTGATAAGGCTGGCGATCACAACGTTGCCAGAAAGCCTGCCATTTTTTGGATGGTTTATACCATCCATTCACCCAGGGGTTGTTGTATTATATGTATTTATCCCATGGTTTATACCATCGGTTTTTCTGGTAGAATAGGGGATTATTATTATTATTATGATGATGATGATGATTAGATGATGATGATGATGATGATGATTCTTACTCTTCTTCTTCTTCTTCTTCTTTCTTCTTTCTTCTTCTTCTTCCTATTGTTATTATTATTACCATTGGGTTTACAGCGTCATTTCTGCTTTGGGTGTTTCGATGGACCACCGATTTGTACTGTAACAGTGCAGAGTGGCTTCACAGATTTGCTGGTGCTTCGCCAGTATCAATAGATCTACCCTCTGGTAAATTAACATAGACTCAGACCCTGCAAAAAAAAAACAATTTTTAGTGGAAACACATCTTCCAAGCCCTATCTGGCAGGGTCGAACGGTTAATTGTAGGGTAATAGAATCTAATAGATTGCAGATCTCTTTGTGTGTTCCGGTACTTTTTGAAGGAACTTTTTGCCTTCCCCCCCTTTTTTGCGGACCAAGCACCAGGGTTGGACCTCAGCTGCAGGTCCAACGAGCCACTCCTGACGATCCGTGGCGATCATGGCAACCAAGACAAAAGGATCTTTCAGATGAAAGAAAATGACAAAAAATGGCTAGATTCAGTTGTTGACTCATTGACTATATGGATCAAAAAATGGCCTATACCATCAGATACCTATCAATTCCTGACAGCCCTTCAAGAATCAACGGGGCCGGCGATTTTAGGCACCATCAGATGGCCCACATTTGGCCCACATTTCGCAGCAGTGACTTCGGAAACAAAGAAATAGATGGTCAGTAATCATAAACCTTAAAGCATCTTAAATCCTAAAGCCACATTTTCGACAGACATCCAGCCTAGAGATCTTGGAATCCCCTGCTTCGACTGGTAGTTAGGAGGGTAGGGGCCATAGATCGAGCCGTGGCGTGCCGCGTGAGCGATGAGCCGACGGAAGCAGGTGCCCGTTGTGGCTTTCATGGGATATACAGCAATGAAGGGTATATTCCATGGGATGTTTCATGGAATATCATGGGATATATGATATACAACCAACTTGATTTTTTGGTGTCTGAAAATGGGGTATACTAACCCCAATTTCTGGCTTTAACTGGGAATGTGATGATTCGACAACTGGCTCTACCTACTAAGCAGGACGGTTACCAAATATATAGTGTATAATATGCTTGTAATCTGGGTATAAGCTGACTCATCAATTGGTTCGATTTCAAACCAGGAGCCTCACAGACACACCATAGATCTGCTTGATCAATGACCAAACCGCCTCTTGGTTGATAGCTACATACAGTGGATTCTACTAATTTTGCTCAATTAGGATTATTCTTACCCAAGATGGACACCCATATCAGGCCATATCAACCAATCAAGAAGGGGATTGCAGAAGGTATTGTGCACTTCTCCGGTCTCTTATCTTTTTGGACTTTATCGATATCAAATACATCTACAGCTTGCCCTGCCACCCTGAGTCTGATGTTTAGCTTGCTGATCATGTGCTTCTCCAATTTTTGCGAGCGTTTTCTTTGCGAAAGTCCGGTTACAATCATAAACAGTTGTGACATGTTGTGATAATTGTGAACTATCTCAATGGTATCCTAAATCTCCAAGTATGGTTGTATAAATGTTGTATCTCCTCTCAAAAAGACATCTCCACTCTATTCCTGGCGTTTAACCAGACGTCGGACGTGGGCTTTTGGGCCTCCCTTCAGGTACGAACCTGGGGGCCAGTTGCCGTCCTGGCTTGCTTGACCTCGGTCTTCTATGATGAGCGTCTCAACTGACGACGTGGCTTTTTGTGGATAGTTTGCTAAATCATCGAAGTCAATGGACCATTTTGATCCATTTTTTACTGGAAAACAAAAGCACCTGGAGGGTGGTTGTTGATCTTTTTGCTGAAACACTCATCGTTTTAGATGATCGTCCCCCGAAAATTCTTGTCTGACTCAAGGGGGTTGAAATACTTCCATGCACCTGGTTTGGGATTTTCTAGCCTGTCCGTCATTTCAAGCAACTGGTTATTTGATTTCCTAAACTTGGGGTTGCCAAGTTTTACATCATTGGCAAATAGACACACATTTTTTTGTTGTGTGAACTCCGTTCCCCCTTCAACTGCTGGCAAACAAACAACCAGGAAACGATCCGTTGGTGAAAGTCACATCACTTTCAGTGGTAAGGATTCAACCAACATTTGGGTAATTTTGGTTGGATCAACGGGAAACCTAGAAATCACCTTGTTTGAAAAAAACATCCCTGGCTGCAGTTTTGGCATAGAGTTAGATCCCTCTCATCCATCCAACATTTTAGTCAGGCAACAAATCCCATCATCCTCCTGTTTAGAATGGGTAAAAGGGACTTGAACATGGGCAAACGTTTGCCCCTGGAAAATACCAAATTTATTCATTAGGGATCAATTAGGGATGATTCACCAATGGACTTAGGGGTAGCCTATTTTAAGACAAACCCATGTACATATATATATAGTATAAATAAATAACTAAATAAATGAATAAAAAAATAACTAGAAATTAGATATATACATATATATATGGTTGAAACAAATCCCCAACATTTGGCTTGGGGAAAAAACATCCCGTTCCATTGTGGGTAAGGAAGATATAGTTTTGGCTGACAAGAAGTCTCTCATCTCATCCATTTTTTCTTATCCTACTGGATCGTCGAGAATAGGCTATCCCTCCACCGGTTGATCATCATCGTCCCTTCTAAAATTGCCAGGGCTATAGCCCATTGTTGGATGATGTATCCACTTCATTGCATCCCATTAAAAAACCTGGGACCTAGGAAAGATCACACCAGGGATACCAATGAAGCCATGAATTCTATCCCAATGAAGCCATAGCATTAATTATATCGCAATAAAAAAATCCCCAACGGCCACAAACAATGCCATCCTACCAAAGCCAACCCCCCAAACTGAGGGCAGGTCTCCATTATCCCAAATATATACTACCAATTGTAATACCCATTATCATTTCGAATATACATGGGGTATATATACTTTTTCATATTGCATTTTTGAAATTGGGGATATCTATTTTATGTACAAATTCTTATTCCCCGTCAAATAGCCTTATAATAATTAGTCGTGTGGAGATAATCCAAATGACATATGATCTCCAGACTATAGTCTCCTTATAAAACAGCCCACAATGTCATCATTTTTTCGAATTCCTTTTTTGTTTTTTTGATATTCCCATCATGCCCATTACAAAAAATGTTTATATCCCAATGATACAAATATTATGGGATGTACCATCATGAGAATTATCTCCATCATTCCCATATGAGGCATTCTCAAAATGGGGGTACCCCTTAAAATCGATGGTTTATAATGGACAATTGCAATCTAAAAAATTGATGTTTCTTGCCGGTGCCATGACTCAGAAAACCTCCAGATATTCCATGGTGGAGATGATCTGAGGCCCAGTAGCGAACCACTCCCGGGCTTCTCTGCCTTAGATGCCGAGCGTCCCACCCGTCCCCCGCGAATGTCGGCCCCCCCGGGGGCGGCTCCCGGGGCCGCCGGGGCCGGGGCCCGGGCCCGGCTCGCGGCGACAGAGCGGCCCATGGAAGAGGCATATGTCACTTGGAAAAATGGGGGAGTTTATGGAAGAAATGGGGAGTAGACTAAGATAGCTATGGACAATTCACCATTTTTAAGTTTGGTAAATCAATTAACTACATGGTCATTTGAACATGGTTTTAACATGTTTTAACATGGTTTCAGAATGGTTCAACATGGTGGGATTTACCTTTGGGGATTTCGTGGAAACGTGGTGATGCTGTGGCCGGCAATTTCTTCAAGTGGGGTATCTGAAGAATTGGTTGAAAGGAAGATGGTGATGTAACCAGCATTTTACCACCACAAATGAAGTTCAACATCACAACATAGGGATATAGAGCCAGTAAAATATGAAATACCCCTACATCATTTTGATCCCAAGGCATGACGAGATCCAGTACATGACATTACAGGGCTTTGGTTTGGGGGTGTGGCAGTTGATACCTGGATGATGGGATTAAAAGTTTGGTTTGTGTTTGGGAGGTGGTTGGTTGATGGAAGCTTTGAGGATCTATTGAAAAAAAAATCCCAGCATTCTTCTTTGTCGGTTTTGAGAGGGGACCCATTCTGGCTGGTTGCTGGAAGATAAAATGTGTATTTTCTCAAAAGAACCATCAAACATGTGGATATTTTACTTACTACAGCTCCACAAACAGACAAACTCGGTGAGTACAAAAAGATGGACGTGGGTCAGAAGTTAGCAAGCAGATGCCTAGACCGTGTAAATGAACATCCCAACTTGGTCACTCACTCCATTCTGTTCATATTTTTGGGCTGTTCACCTGGGCATTCTTTGGAGTTTTGGAAATCAGGGGCACAGCCCTTGATACCTTTGATGTTTCGATGGGTCACCGATGTATGTCCAACCTGACTGCCCATGACTTCTTTTCAGTAAACCTGTAAATCTTCCAATTTTTCAGGTACCCAACGGTACCCAACCCATCCCCAAAGATTCGCTCTTGGATCTTGGCGCTTTGATGATGTCCCTATCATATCACGTGTCTCACTTGTCGCGGTCTTTGGAGGGAGCAAACATGTGCCATACTCACATTCTGGCGATTGCAGCTCCCCTGGTTGGTTCTTGGGCATCAACACGGTCAATCTTTGCAGCTGATCATTTTTGATCTTCACTCTTTTGCCTGATAAATGCCTGTTTTTTGGAACCATTTTTTTTGTTCCCAATAAAAACTCGCATTCAACACCAATCCCATTTGCTCGTAGGTGACCGAAGTTACAGGGTATCCCCAATTGAATTGGATAACAAACACTTTCTTTGAGCATGGTTCATCATCATTCCCACAATATTTTCCACAATTCTTCCAAGATGATCCCAGAGTTCACCCCATCAACCGTTGGCTTGCCATCATTCGCTCTTTCATCTGATCAACTATATTTATGAACAACACAACTCGTACCATAATTGTCCCATATTTCAAGGCTCATTTCCCATTACCCCCTGGTAATCAAGTTGGTTGGTGGCTGGATGATTTTCCCGTAAAAATCCCCATTTGAAAAAGGGGATTGTTCCACGTTTGAGGACGAGGGTGTTTGTCTTGGCGCAACAGCATTTTTTGTCCTGTACGCTTTTCCAATCTTTTCCATTGATTATCCCATGAATTATTGGCTTCCCATAGCTCGAAGAGTTATATATATATACATATGTAATTATCCCTTAAATTGTGAAGTTCGGCAAATCAAAAAGGATGTAAAAATCACCTATCTCAATGGCAATTTTCTATGGCCCCATTTTTCAGTTTGGCAAATCAAAAAGGATGTCTATCATCAATTGGGCCATGGCTTCATCGATGGCTTGACAGGCAAATCACCATATGTCAATGTTTTTTTTTTTCCATTAATCATCATATCATCACATTAATAGTTATATAATAGTTATATATATATAGTTATCCCATTATTAATAAATAGCTATATAATGCTATATATATAGTTATTCCATTATTAATAGCTATATATATATATGTGTCTACATGGGCCATTCCCTTCCTATGACTTGGGCCGACTCCAATGGCCGAGGTGACCTTGGATCATGTCCTTCTGCCGCGCCTGTTTTTCCACGAGCTGTCCGACATCTTCGATGGCCACTGGTCGCAGGACTCGGTGCTGCCGAAATCCCTGGAGTGACTGGTTGGAGAGTCAGCGAGATGGTGGAAGGGGTGCTGGAGAATTTGTAGGAAATAATGTATATATGATATGTAATATATATGATATGATATGATATATATATATGTATATATATGATATGTATATATATATATATATAGTGTTGTTGATGATCTAAAGATGATTAGCGTTTAAGGATATTACATGTACTGGATATGTATATTTATGTACTGTTTTGCTTGGAATATCTGATAGTAGATCCAAGACTATGAGATGGGACAAAATCTTTGAGAAGGATTGGTCCCTCATGGATGGCTCAATGGGGCAAGAACTGGCCCAGGCATTCGGGCGCGAAGCATTTGAATCTGTGGACTGAAGAGGGACTGAAGCAACTGACCTTTGGCATGGACATGAAGATCTTTGGCTGCAGAAAATCGACCAAGATGTGAACCGCAGGATGGACCTGGCTTGTGAACCAAAGCTGGTAACCCCAATAAGAATCTCCTCAGAATCAACCATCGGTTACTTTGATTGATACTCTTCCTAACCATTACACTCCCGCAAATTAACATAGACCATGAACATTTTTTGTAGTGAAGAGTAATATCTTTCAACCCGTGATTCATGGCAGGGTCTACGTGAAGTTGCGGATAAAACCAGTAGCAATAAGCAATCCATAACACCAATAGCAATCCCCTACAGTAATAATCAACCTGCTAGCCTTATTGACCATTGGTCAACAGAGTTGAGTCACTATTCCCTCACCTTCTGGTTGGGACCTTTGCAGCGGCAAAATGGGTTCACAAACCGTCCTTGAAGGAAAGTCAGAAGCCAATACATATTTGGCTCATGATCCAGAGCTTTGTTTCATTTTACATATGTTTATGCATGTACATATATATATGTATATTATGTAAACACACAGCATTTTGTAGCATGTATAACATCTATACATGCGTATGTTTCATATACATCTATAGCATTTTCACAAACACATATATATATAATTATATATATATAATGTTGCATAAATATACATCTATAGCACACACACACATGGGGATGGATCAATACCTATTAATACCATTTTTAGGGGGTTATTCACATCCATAAATCCCAGCTATTTTGATGTGAACTACAGGGGTACTATTGGTTTTGACACACTGCCATATATATATAGATATATATATATAGATAGATATACCATATTAACCATGGTTATTAAGTTCTGGGATGATCATACGGAGCGCTGGCATGATGAACCGGTTGATTTTTTGAGGATCCCTTGGCATCACGTCGAGACCGTCGAGTCCTGGAGCGGAGGACGCGGAGCCGGAGAGGCCGCCGCCATGCGGAGGTGGAAAATTGGTATGTCATTGGTTGGTACAAGGAGGTGCCCCCGTTGGATAGCTATTGAAAATGGCCATTTATAGTGGATTTTCCCATTAAAAATGGTGATTTTCCATAGCTATGTTAAATTACTAGATAGCTAAGTTGGTGCAAAGAACTCCAATAACTATGGGTTTTTGTTGGTGATATATCGAACTAGTTAATGGGGTTATAAACCAACTTATAACAAGGTGGGGGCACCACCTTGTATGAATCAACTCACTGAGATTTGGATAAGATTCATCAGAAATTGGGCAGTTGAGATTTACGAAGTCGCCACGAAGCCCTGGTGCGGTTTTGTGTTCGTGGGGAGCAAGTGGAGTGGCGACTCCCTTTTCCTACTGGTTGATTCATACCAATAGGACATGACGTTGCGATGATGAGATGATGTTCGTGTGCTTAGTGCTCCTAAAATTCTGGACCGATTTTGCCATCTCCATTGTGTTTACCGTTCACTTCGCTGATTCATCCAAGAGGTTTTGTGGCTGACAAGCCACAAAACAATGTGTTTTTTTCGATGAATTGTCTCCCATTTGGCTTGGTGGAATCCCCATTGCTGGTTGGGTCAAGCCACCACGATTCTTGTTGCTTCCATCCCCACTAAAAATGGTTCTAAAAGCAAGGTTTTTTGGTCGATAGACTTTTTCAACTCACCTGAAACCGCGAGCTCGCCCCCGCTAGAGAGATTGGAACACCACCCCAAAAATTCTATAGTATATGTATATCTATATATATATACACATGTGATGTATATGTATATATATATAATATATATATATATATATATGTATGTATTATTTATAAACGCAATTTCCCATGGAACATCTTCCACAGTCCATGGGCTTCCCCTCTTGAGACACAAAACAGGCGAGTTCCAGATTCGCGGTGAGTTCCAGTGAGATGATGATCAACTGTACCGTGAGATCCCTCCGAAGTATCTGAGAATCACTGGTGGAGCTGGGATGAATGGCTTACGGTGACTTTTTTTGAGCCCTAAAAAGGATGCCCCAAAAATAGTAAAGAGACCATCACTAGCTTACCTTCGGTTTTTTAAAATCATTTTCTATCTTTTTGGATGATGAATGGGTGATTTTCAGAAGACATGGGATTCAGAATGTGATAATATAGATGATTAGCCCCAAAGAGGTTTGGCCCAAAACCATGTTGTTATTGCCCAGCAAAAAGATAGAATACATATTTTCACCAGCACAACTATGACAGAGGAAGATGCAAGTAAAGATATTTATCAGTAAGCATGGGATACATTGATGTTCCAACATTGCTTCAAGATATTAATCGATAAGCATAGGGATATATACATACATAACATAACATAACATAACATAACGTAACATTGCATAACATAACATTGCATTACATTACAATACATTACATTGCATAGAAATATACATGCATATGTATGTATATATATATATACAGATTTTTACATAGGCAAGAATAGCAGGGGATATAGTTTGACACAAGAAGCATCGAGGCATTCGCCGGCATATGTGTGTATATATACACGCACTACACTACATACATGTATTTGAGAAGTCCGCCAGAATGTGGATTTTTCACTCTCCCTCACTCAATCTTGCAATGGAACATCCGAATGAACATCGGCCCCAACAAATCTTCCAGTTTGATCACTGCGGGGTAACTGCAGCTTTCGTGGGTTGAGTTGGTGGTAGGAAAGCAAAAAAAAGTTGGACCCCATCAGACCCATCACACTTTCTATCACATTTTCTGCTGGGTCCAATCTGAATCTCGTCCGAGGTACAAACCACTCTAGATTACTGGAGCGACTTGGCAGCGACATTTGGCCATCTCGGGGCATCCTGTTCTGGGGCCCTGGGGCTCTGGGGCTGCGTCGGCTGAGGATGTCCTTCGAAATGGAGGGCCCGGTGTTGCAACGCTTACGTCCCAAACTGCTGTTGCAGATGGAACCGCATCGCGATGGCTTGGAGGTGGATCTGAGAGGGCTTTTGTTTAAGTGGGAGACCGGCAGGTAGATGGCAGTTGACGTGGTGTTTTGCTGTGTTTTTTCTGTAGGTTTTTGGAGTTTTTTTTGGTAGGTTTTTGGAGGTGAACTCTGTGAGAGGCTGATTGATTCGTGTTTGGTCATCAAGGAGGTAAACATAGCTACTAGTTTTACTAGTTGCAAAGATTTCTGATGTTTTGAACACATGGGATGATAAGTTAAACTGACCAGAGCGACTTTCGGAGCTGAGGTGTGGGTTGGAGGTCTGCTGGAGTGGAAGGCGAGGATGAAGACAGGGGGATGGTTCTTAGAACGTGGCTTTGTTTATTTTTTTTGGATGGGCCCCGAGTTTATGGTCGTTTTTTTGTGGAAAACATGACAGTTTGAGTGGTAAAGCATAGGATGGAATGGGGTTGCAAAATTGAGACAACATCATTTTCCATGTTGATGAAAGTTGGACAATGGCCAGCCTTTACTTCGCAGGTGGATTCCTATTTTTTGGACTCCGTTGCTGGGGTGGACCTTCCATTGAGGGGAATCTTCCCGTTTTTTTTTTGGGATGCGTGGGGCTCAACCACCGATTTACCACAGAGTTGTGGTACACCCAATGGTTGTCATAAAGCGTCCCCAAAATCACAACTTGATGGGTTGTATAAACCATCCCCAGTCATGGTAGGTGTATGGCAGGGTTTACTACATTATCACGAAAGGTAGCTCCAGAGGGGCTACCTTGAGTTTTACTTTACGAAGTAAAGGGGAGGGCGGCCAGCCCCGTTACCTGATTCTTCAGGAGATTGCTAGTCATTTTAGTACCCCCCCCCCCTCCACACCTCCCACGCACCCTAAGAGCAGACTCAAAACATTGTAATTTACAGTATTTTTGTTCTTTTCGGATCAAGAAACCACATTTTGCTACATGGTGAAACCTCCGTAAATACTAGTGTTTTTGCTAGGTGCTGGCCAAAAAACACTGTAAATACCGTGCTTTTTACTACCAGAGGCAAAAAACATCGTAAATACCGTGGTTTTGGGCTTCCGACCCGCCAAAAACATTGGTATTTACGGTGTTTTTTTCTCCGAGAGATGCAACAACACGCGAAAACACCACCGATTTGACGATTTTCGGCCACTACGGAACCGAGCAAAAACGCTGCAGGGGTAACACCAACACCAACAAGAACAACAGCAACAGCAACAACGACGACAACAACAACAACAACAACGCACAACGCACAACGCACAACGCACAACGCACAACGCACAACGCACAACGCACAACGCACAACGCACAACGCACAACGCACAACGCACAAAGCACAAAG